CGGTATCCAATACGGTAGCGCGCAGCCGAGCACATATCTATACTGAATATTTTAGATTCATTTAATGATTAATCATCTTCATAACTGATTTCAGATGCCTTTTGCAGGGCTTATGGATGACAATCGATACTTTTACTTAGCCATCAACTTCACTCAATTTGTAAGCTGTTTCCTGCCTTTTCTAATTGAGTGTCTATAAATCCTCGATCCAGGCCACCATTTTCGTCATAATTGAGGTCTTATTTTTATATACTCTCACAATAAACTTTGTTTGAGGCCCTTGTCTGTGAGAACGTTGAATAGAAATTTTTATTTTAGACTCAAATTTTGAAGAGCTAAAATTTAATATCTTGATAAGAGTAATATTTCTTCAAGGAGTGAAAAGAAAGTGAGCTAATAAAATTAAGCTGTTCATCTGTATTCAGTTATTCAAATAATAGCTATTTGAGTATAATAGCTGTGCACTATAGAATGCTCCTTCCTGCTTACCCCGGACAGAGCATCGTATCTGAACTTATTTTACCACCGTATTCAAGATTCACTAATTGATGGGACTACAATTACTCAATAAGTATCTCCACGGATCAAAAATGGAAACAAGAAACATGAAATAAGATGCTACAATCGATACCTATATATTTCATTGTTATAAATTTGTTTGGTAAGAGTAACGGGTTACTAAAGGATTTACGGAGAATATTTATCTATCTTCCTTACTTTGTAAGTATTTTTTTACTCTGAATGATATTAATGTTTATATCGAGAATTACTGAGCACTACGATTGAAGTGATACTAGACCCCAGTGAATTATCTGCTATATGAGTTTTTCTAAACAAACCTATAATCTTACTGTGGCGTCCTATACTTTTATGACTGTTCTACCTTAATATTTTTTCAAATTGACTAGATTTGTTAAGCTACCGGTAAATTTTGAATAAGCTCCTCTATTAATATTCTTATCTACATTTCCTTCTACGTATGTATGTGTAGATGCTTTCTAGTCACTTGGGTCTGGTCATAAATTCCACTAGACCCAATTCGACTGGCTTCGACGATAAGTTCGTTAGCTCTAGACATACCTCTTCTGTGTTCAGATGGGCCTCCCTTAATCCATTTATTCACGTTGGACAATGGCTCTTGCAAGCCGAACCATCTGGCTCCTATCACGATAGTAATAGTGAGACCGCCTCTAATGCAATTGCCGCCTGGCGTCAATTGACCACACGTGGACTACTCGACATTACGGGACGTCGGATTTTAGCCATGGCGAGTGCTAAAACCGACTTTTGCAGAAACACCTTGCCGAAACAAGCACATCCCTCAGCTGGACACATGGATACGGGACAGGATGATGTTGAAGAAGAGGAAAAGGAGGCCGCTGCAATGAAAAATGTCTGGATCCCTGCTGCAGGTTCAGCTTCTTTGGCTAGGCTGGCAGCAGATGCGACCGAACCAAGACTGGCTTGTTGCCTACCTGATCACTCACTCTCCATACCTCGGAAGTTTCTTATGGTATGCTCGATGATAGACCTTATTTGAAATCTTCATTTAATTGCATTATCATTGTTCCTGCTATATTTATTGTATATAAGGTCGAATTTGTTTCTGTAGTTTTTCAAATTTAATGAACATAATTCTGTAATATGCTTTTTGGTTGCTTATTTTTAGTATGGTGTGATGCGATAAAATGTCTCCTCGTAGCCTCTATTATTTTTTTACATCCAATTTCTAATAATTGATAGCATCCTTGATAATAACTACAACTGGTGGCGTTGTCAAGACGAATTAG